CCAGAACTGTGGCTCTCAGGATGTGCCAGGCCACCCCTGCCACTGAGACAGTCCCAATTAAGACTCTAAAGACCAGCCTCGGTGTCTGCAAAGTCCAGGGTGCTCCAGGACCTCCAGCCGCTCATTTGTTCTGTGACGCTCTTATCCCAATTAAGCTACTCAAAACTTTTGAAGTTCATGAGTCATTTGCTTCAAACATCTTTAAATTAAGGAGAGATTCACTTTCCTGGTAGCAAACACCCAGCAACTTAATTAAAAGGGGTTCAGCATTTAAACTGCCACCATGGCTTTCCACGGAAGGGGAAGGAGCTCGCTTCTCCCTGCTGCCTCTGCGCGGATTCCCTTCCACTCGGACTCTGGCATTTAGGAGGTATGTCACAGGACTCGCTCCCGGGGTTGGCCGGCCCGCATGCTGCTCAGGTCAGCTGGCCATCAAGGTGCAGAGGAAGTCATGCCGGCATCCCTGCTTACATGCCTAAAGGACACTGAAGGCCCCCTGGTGACACGGACAAAGCAACTTTCCAACTAGCCTTGGGAAAACGCATGAGTGAATCTCGATGTAAGACTCACCAGGCAGGGCTCAGCGACATCTGAGCCGCGGCGACCTTGAGCTGGATGTCACGGACACATGACTGATTAAATGGAAACACGCCCTGAATGACGCTGGGGACCTGCAGGGCTGCATGGCCCCTCGTGGGTGGTGCACCTCCCGAGAGACCCAAGCTTGCTCAGCTGGGGAAGTCTAGATTCATCTGAGCAGGCCAGGGAGTCCCAGGGCAGGTGCCAGCAGGCAGGGTCTGAGATCCTTCCCGAGCACTGACCTTGCTAAGCACAGGCCGGGGCCAGGCTTCCTTGCAGTGGCCTGTCCAGTAACACACACACTCGCCATGAGCTTTAAGACCAGCACTCAAGGAACTACCCTCTGGCTCTCTCCTGCGAGACACTGTGACTCCAAACTCAGCGCATGACAGGCAAGAGGCTGACACAGGCAGACGAGTCACACTGGGGGCCTCCTGACAGAGCCTCAGGCGAACTTCTGACCCATCTGAAGTCCATCCTCTGCCAGCACTTGAGAGAGGCTGAGCTGCGTGCCTCTGCGAATCCACGCCAGGTGATTTTCCATCCCAAGCAGCTCCCAGCTAGAGGTCTAGCTACACCTCTGCAGAAAGCACCAAGGTCAGAGACAGGCCCTGGGACCTGTGAAATGATCTGTCAAAGCTGGTAGCACCAGATCAGCACATTAATAGCAACTGACATTATCATTACCATCACCACCACCCTCACCACCACCATCACCTCCATCATTATCACCATCACTACCAACACCACCACCATCACCACCACCATCACTGCCAACACCACCACCATCACCACCAACATCACCATCACCACCACCATCACCACCAACATCATCATCACCAACATCACCACCATCACTACCACCATCACCACCACCATCACCGCCAACACTACCACCATCACCACCAACATCACCATCACCACCACCATCACCACCATCATTACCACCACCCTCACCACCACTATCACCACCACCATCACTACCACCACCATCACCACCACCATCACCGCCAACACTACCACCATCACCACCAACATCACCATCACCACCACCATCATCACCACCACCCTCACCACCACCATCACTACCATCACCACCAACATCAACATCACTACCACCATCACCACCATCATCACCACCATCATCACCACCACCCTCACCACCACTATCACCACCACCATCACTACCACCACCATCACCACCATCATTATCACCATCACCACCATCGTCACCATCACTACCACCATCACCACCATCATCACCACCACCCTCACCACCACCCTCACCACCATTATCACCACCACTGTCACCACCACCATCACTACCACCACCATCACCACCACCATCACTACCACTATCATTGTATTTTCTAGAATTATAGCATTATCATCACCACCACAAGCACCACTACCAACACTACCACCATCATCATCACCATCAGTGCCACCATCACCATCACCACCATCATCATCACCATCACTACCACCATCACCACCAACATCACCAACATCACCACCATCATTATGTGACATCACCACCACCATCATCATAATTACTAGTATTATAGCATTACCATCACCACCACCACCACCACCACCAACACCACACCATCATCATCATCACCACCACCATCACTGCCACCGTGACGTCATCATCACCATTACTAGTATTATAGCATTATCATCACCACCACCAACACCACACCATCACCACCACCATCACCGCCATCATAATCACTGTGGTCACCATCATTGCCATCATTGCCATCATCACCATCACCACCACCATCACCGTCCTTCTGCTCATATTAACAGCGGCCAACACTTATTGAGCGGGCCCCCGTGCGCCAGAAGGTCAGCACATGACGTGCACTGTCTCCTTTAACCTTTGATGACAAGGTTAGGAGAGGTCAACGCTACTGTCCAACTGCGGCACAGAGCAGACAAGCAGGTTGCCCAGGTCACACAGCTAATATGAGGACTATGAAGCCAGGCAGCGAGGGGCTTAACCATGATCCTAAAATTCAGAGAAATGTCCCAGTTATTTCACCTGCAGGGTGATTCCCGAGGGAGGGGCTTTCTGACAACCATAGGGCTATTCCTTGGAGCCTTAGTTCTGTGGGATCTCACAGTGCCCTAGATCACCCTCCCCCACCCCATCTGTCCCCAGGAATGCCTGTGCTCCAGGCAGCAGGAGTGGGACCTGCCGGTCCCTCTACATCTCTCCACAGAAGCAGGAGTAGACCCCACGGATTCCCAGCCCTGATCCCAGACACCTGTCCTGGACAGTGGACCATCTTAGGGGATGCTGGTAGCATGTCCTAGGCCAAATTCTGGGTTCAAGGTGTCCCCAGGAGCGAGTGGCAAGGCTGGGTGTGACTCAGGTGACAAGACTCTCAGTCCCTGGTGGCCGGTTCTGCCTTTGACAGCTGTGGCACTGTCCTCTGAGCCTCTCTTGCTGCTTGAAAGCAGCTGACGTGTGGGGCCATCCTGGGCACCGGGGGCCACTTTCCACGCTCAGAAGTGACCTGCTGAATCCTCACAGCCACTGTCCAGAGGCGAACCTTGCAGGCTCTGGGTTTGATGGTGAGGACAAGGACATCGAGACCCTGCCCAGGGTCACAGAGTGACATGCTGTGGAGGCCAGACTCCTCCCCAGATGCCGCAGCCACCAAGCAGGGGCCATGCAGCTTCCCAGACCGCAGCCCGGGGGCCCACAGGTGCTCCTGCTGCGCAGCTCCCGAGAAGTGTGAGCAGCGGCCAAGCGCCACCCAGCGTGGGGCCAGGCCAACCCTGATGACTGCTGAGGCAGGAGGGGTCTGAAGGGGTCTGCAGGGGTCTTTCCTGCCACCCTCCCACTCAGAAGCTCATACAGAGCAGGAGATTACATCGCCTGCCTTCAGGAGCCCAAGAAAATAGCTCACTTGAGAGTCATTAGCCAGTCCTTCCCAGGGTCTAACTTGAATTACTCCTGCTTGGATCTAATTCAATTAGGTAGGGCCAGCTGGACTGTGATGAGCCCAGTTAGGAGATCATCTCAGCCTTGCCTCTTCACCCTCTTCCCTTCGCCTTGACTTGGTGAAGCTGCTCAGCCCCTGATGAGGGCCCGTTCCCTTCTCTGCCGGCCGGCAGCGTTTTCCAGAATCAACATTTCTCTACATTAGAAGCGAACACACACATTTCCCCCCTTTTACGTTTGCTTTGCTAAATAAATTGATCTAGCACCAGATTATATTATGAAGAAGCACAAATCTTTCCTGAGGTCAGCAGCAGCCAGTGGACTGTGGATGGGTTTGCTGAGCCCTGCGAGGCCGTCCTGGGCGTTCACTTTAGTAATAACGGATGTAATTAGGAGTAAAGGGAACCTGATTCCTCTTCCACGGCGACACAGCAAGTGGGTCTTCAGAGGAGGTGACGGGGGGCACCTCCTGCGTCTACTGAGGTCAGACTCTCAGAGCCTCTGACCAGAGCTACGGGTGCCACGCTGGGGTGGCTGAGGCGGCCCCCGGGCCCTCCAGGGAGCTGCCGGCTCCGGGCCTTGCCCTGGCGTGGGGCTCCGGCTCCCTGGACAAGCTGCTGTCCGGGGGTGACACAAAGGCACAGACCGTCTTGTCCAGTGAAGGGAGGAAGACAATGGTGAGCTGAAGGGCCAACACGGGCCACCCCACAAAAACCTGTCCACGGCTGCCGGCTGCCTGCCTGGCCAAGGTCAGGGAACCTCGCGGGACCCGTCCCAGGCCCTCGGCCCCTCCGCACCGGGTTGGGGGGAGCTCTCCGCAGCACTTCTCCTGCCCTGGATCCCGAGGAGCCCCAGGCGGGGTCGGTGGCGCCCAGACCTGGGTGTGCAGGGAGCCCTTCCCCCACGGCGCCTCCCGTAGCTGCTGCAGGAAGGGAGGGAGGCTGCTGCTGGTGGACGCCGGGTGCCAGGTCACCTGGGCCACAGCCTGTCGTCAGAGGCCCAGGAGTCGGGGCACCAGCTGCTGGGGCAGGGACAGGCACCAGCCGTCCCCGGAAGCCTCCACCCCCGCCTGTCGGCAGAGCTTCAGCTGCCAGCCCTGGGCTCTTCCTGCCACTCCTGGTCCTGGACCAGCTCCCCTGCGGGGCCTCGCCCCAGCCTTGGCGGTTTCTCAGGACTCCGCCAGGCCTCACCCCGGCAGCACCAGGGTCCGCGTCCACTCTCAGGTGGATGGGAAGGAGGGAGGCCCCCTTTTCACGTCCACCTGCTTCCCCAATCCTGCTGACTGCCCGGGCGTCCCCGACACCGGACACCATCTCTCCCTGCGGTCCTGCGCCTGACCCCTGGCCTCTTCCTTTTCAGTCTGGCCCCCGTGAACCGCCCTGCACACCTCGGGGTCCCTCCCTCCCAAGCCGCACACACCCCAGCCCCCGGACAGACCCAAAGCTCCGTGGTGGCCGCCTACCTGAGGTCTCCCCCAGAATCCGGGGGGGCTTGCTGTCTTTCCCGTTGTTGCTGGGCCTGGGGGAAGGCTCCGTTGTGCTAGCCCCAGCGGGGACCCTTCTCCGGGGATCCGGGGAGGCAGTGACCCCCTTGGTCTGCAGCGTGATGGAGGTGGCCGTGGTGGCAGCGATGGTGGTGGTGGCCACAGTCGTCTTCCGTGTTTGTAAGATGGGGACCGTGGTGAGGCCATGCACGCCCGGGAAAGTGTTGGCCTCCGGGGCCTCCTCGTCCCCCGTGGGCCCCCAGGCGATGAACTCTGTCTCTGTCGTGGGCCTGCTGCCCCTGAAGTCGAAGCTACTGAGACCAGTGTCCTGCACGTGCCTCTTCCCCCGCCGCAGGAGACTCTGGTGCTCGGGGGCCCCTCCGGCCACCGCGGAGGATGAGGACGAGGAGGAGGAAGTGAGGGACGGGCTGGATTTGGCAGCAGCTGGGGGCTTGGCGAGCCCCCCTTTGGGCACGAGGGAGGCCACCTGGTCTCTGGGCCTGTGGGCTCTCCTGGCACGGAGCATCTGCCCATGGGCCCGCTCCGCCCGGGGCGCCCGAGGGCTCCACACAGGGGCAGGGAGCCGGGACGGCTGTCCACTCCTCAGGCTCCACAGCCGCGGGGGCCTCTGCGGTGGTCGTGGCAGGAGCCGGAACTCGGGGCCTGGGCCCAGGGACTCACAGGACGGGAAATCCACAGCAAGCTGCAGCATGGCTATCAGGATCCAAGCATGGCTTCCAAGGGAGCGGCCCGGCCAGCGGATGCACATGGAGCTGCGAAGGAGAGAGAGGAGAGTGGTCAGCAGGGCGGGCAGGGCCCTGGCGGGGCCAGGTGGTCATCCTCCATCAGGACAAGGTCGTCTTGCAGGAGAAGCTCAGCCTCAAGGGCAAACCCCTCCCTCTGAAGGTCACTGGAGCACCTCCCTCTCCACCTTGAGAAGACAATGCCCTCCAGGTCCCCAGGAGCTGCACCCAGCCAGCTGACAACCACAGGGCCCATCTCATGGGGGGAGGACCAAGACCCAGTGGACCCCCATCATCCCCGATGTGATGACCTGATGACCTGCCAGTCCCCCTCCTTTTGCCCGTAATGACAGGAGGCACCAAGAGGATACAGACTGAGAACCACAGGACTGGCCAGCCTCCGGCCGGACTGCAGGCCCAGGTGCTCTCCTCTAGGAAGCACAAGAGGCTCACTGCCATTGGCCATCGGCTCTCCCAAGGCCTGGGTGGGACGAGGTCTGACTCGGGGACACTCAGCCAGGCAGATGCCGGGCAAGGAGCAAACAGTCGGTGGCCCCTGAGCACCACCTGCATGCACTCTGCAAGGCCCCTGGCCCCTGCCCTGGCCCCTGCCGTGGCCCCTGAGGTGAATGTGACTGTCTTAGAACTGCCGGGGCCTTCCTCCCTGGACGCCAGCCGCCCGGGCTGGGCCTCTGCCGAGGTCACAAGGGACCTGAGACCTGTTCCAGATAAGCTGGGGGTTTACTGATGCCGAAGTGCTGGTCCTGCTGACATTTCCACCCCTGTATGTCCCGGGTGCAGGTGGCCTCTGAAGCCCTCTGTCCACCTCCTCAGCCCCGGGAGCTGCAGAAAGCCCAAGCCCTGCAGAGCCTGGGGGAGGCCGGAGCTCCGGGGAAGCGTGGTGTCCACGGCCCGTGGAGCAGTCCCCAGAGAGCCCAGGCCTGAAGCCATCTCCAGGAAGGTGGACGCTGGAGCGTCACAGGAACATCCAGAGCACAGCACAGAACCACGTGGCAGGCTGGGGGACGCGGGCCCACGTGCCCTCTCCCACTGCATGGATAACTGAGGACTGATTACAGGTGCCATTCAAACTCAGCTCTTGTCACACCCTCAGGTCTGAAAGTTAAAATGAATCCCCAAAACTCCACGCTGCTGTGGTGGGGGGTGGGCAGGGCGGCGAGCCTCCGGGACACGCAGGCCACTTTTCCTTATAGGTGTCATGTGACTTTAAAAAGGACGGGATTGGGGTGAGTGTGAGCACCCTGTCGAGTGTGCACACACATACCAGTGTGCAGCAGCGTGTTCATGCGTGTGTCAGTGTGTGTGCTGGGTGTGACTTCGACAATCCTGTATGTGCCTGTCACAAGGAAGAGACCATGTGCAGTGTGTGTGTCAGCACGTGTGGGTGTGAAGATGCGTGTGACTGTGTGTCTGCAGATGTGAGTCAGCCTCACGCACACCATGCCTGTGTGTCGGTGTGAGAGGGGAGTGCGATGCTGTGCCCCGTGTGCCCCTGCATCTGCCCATGTGCACCCGCACGTGCCCACGTGTGAGACTGCCTTGTGCCTGCATGCCAGTGAGTGTGCAAGGCGTGTCCGGGAGTGTGTCAGTGTGTGCAACTGTAACTGGGTCCCAGTGTGTGCACAACCCTCCAGGGCCGAGGCCTCCTGGCACTTGGGAATGAGCTGGTCCCCAGGGGTCATTGAGATGCTGAGAGAAAGAACCTCACATTAATGAGCATTAATTATCAAAAAGGGTTAATCCCCAAATAATAAGGCCCTGGTTTTTTAATCAGAATCAAAGTGCTTTGCTCCAGAAATTAGGAAGTGTTCGTTATGCTAATGCCTCTGCCCTGGGTTGCTGTGTTGTGCAATTTCCCTGCACAAGCAGCCGAGCTTGGTGCAGGGACCTGGGCCATCATCACTGCACGGGGACATCTAGGTCAGTGTGAAAGACCCCGCACGTGCTAAAGGCAGCTCCTCTGGGGCTGCTGGTGACCTAGCGAGGGTGGGAGATGGTTGACAACACAGCTTTCTCCCCTGCCGTGCAGCTGGGTGGGAGTCTGGTCCCAGGGCAATGAGATTCTGCTTGGAGTAGGTGCTGGCCCCACCAGGCCCCTCCAGGCGCCTCCAGGCCCCACCAGGCCCCACAGGAAGCCATGAGACCCTCCTCCCAGGCCCCACTAGGACTCACGAGGTCTTACCAGGCCCCAGGCCCCCAGGCCCCCAGGCCCTACCCAGCAAACTGCACTAAGAGCAAGCAAGGGCACAACTGCCACCATCCAGACTTGGAGAAATATCGCCCCAGGAAATTAAAACCACAGCACCTAAGCCTGGGCCTGCCTCCCCAGCATAACTTCACACACAGGATATTTCTGTGATTTTTCACCAATCACGGGCTGTAATTGGTTACCATAGAAACCCCTCATTTCCTAGACACCCAGCTGTTATGCAGAAAACCAGCCATGGCCACGTGGCAGGGGAGGTGGATTCGCTTCTCCCCAAGTCCAGCTTCTTCTTTTTAAAGTGACGCATTTGTTCAGAGGGAAAATAGAGAGCTGGTGGGCGAGTCAGGACCAAGCTTCCCCCCTCCCCGGCATCCAGGAAGCCCTGCGGGGACCTTCTCCCCCAGGAAGGCCCAGGCTGATGGCGTGGCCTGCACAAGGGCACCAGGGGCCCTGTACAGGGGCCAAAGGCCCCGGACTGTGCTTGGCCCTGGGCCCAGCCTGGCCCTGAGTGCTATCAGGAATTTCTTGGTCTGGAGAGCAGCACCTCCAAGGACCCTGAGCAGCCACGCCACTTCCCTGTGGCCCCAGCCAGCTCTGAACCAGGCGGAAGCCCAGGATGCTCTCTGACCTGTGCAGGGCTGGACGCCCCCAGCTGCTCTCACTTCATGAGGAAGCCATCTTGGAGGGGCTCACCCAGGGAGGGACCCTGGTGCTGTCAGCCATGCACCAAGAGGTGGGGGACCCCCACACCCGAGGAGGGAGGCCCCGCAGCACGGCTGCCCTCCGTAGTGGCCCCGGAGGCAGGCAGAGGTGGGGTCAGCTTCCCCAAACTCCGGACCATCCACAGACCCCTTAAGAACATGTCACGGCCTCACACCCACAAGGACAGCATCCAGCAGAAGGTGGAGAGTGGTCAGTGCTGCAGGGGGCGAGCCCGGCACAGCGGTGGGAATGCACACAGGTGGCAGGAAGCAGCTGGGTGAGTCTGGGAAACAGTTAGCGCGGCCTAGCAGCTCCACTCCCAGAGGCCCACGGATGTCCAAGGCGGCACCTCAGTGACCCAGAGAGAAAACTGCCCCAGCGCCCATCCAAGCGCTCAGCCAGGCACAACAGAACATTGTTCAGCCATGGTTAGCGCAGGAAGACTTGGCCAGGGACAAGGGTGGACCCTGAAAACACTGCCCTCGGTGAACCCAGCAAGTCACATTGCCGCGCATCGGCTGGTTGCTCCGTGCAGAATGTTCAGAACAGGCAAATCCAGACAGGAAGTAGGCTGTGGCTGAGGCTGGGGAGGAGGGGAGCCACTGGGATTGATGCGGTGGCTGCGTAGCCCTAAGAGCATCCTCAGACGGCTGGCCTGACTGCTTCCTAGGGTCCACGTGACACACGTCCATCAAAACTCAATACCAAGAAAGGCAACGGGCAGAGGAGGGGTGTGTGCAAGGGTGCTGAGGGGCCAAGGTGGGCACGTGCTGACCCTGGACCCTGACCTGCAGACACTGCCACCACGGGCAGCCTGGACCTGCAGGTTCCTTCCCGCAGTGCTCACTGGGACACCAGGAAGGAGCAAGACCCCCTCTCTGCTCAAGGGCAGCACCAGGCCACGCCCTGCAGGGCCCGGCCAGGGTGGGCTCGCCTGGCAGCCTCTGATGGACACTTTTCTAATGAAGAATGACACCGGCAAGCACCCCGTGCCCAGGGGGAGCTGCCCGTCTCCCCGTACTTTCCAGTGTGCCACAGTCCTTCTCTCCTTCCTTTTAAATTCTTACTGAAATTTCCTTTCCCCAAGAATCGTTTAAGAAGACCCAGAGAACTGAGATTCAATTTGCTGCCTCCGTATGTTCTATTCACAGAAGAAAATCACTGTCAGTCAAGGGAGACAAGGTCAGCTCTTCACCCAGGGTCACACCTTGCGGAGACCTGTGGCTAGCAGCGAGCATGGGCCTTCTGGAGGCTGCTGGTCCCTCGCATGCTGGGGCACCGGGGCAGGGAGGACCCAGCATGGGCGAGCCCTGGGATTGTGCAGCCAGGGGCCACCTCAGAATCTGCAAGGTGGGACGAGACCTCAGAGCCCTGCAGCAGGTGGCCGGTCCACCCAGTTCTCTGTGGATTCCCGCTCCCCTGCCTCTTCACGCCCTGGCCCTGAGCCCCTGCGAGGTCAGAGCTGTGTGTTGGGGAGTCAGCCAAGCCTGGGCTTTCTGCTTCACTCCGCCACCCCCAGTGTGCTGGTCCTGCCCAGGGGACAGCTACAACAGGTGTCTGCTCTCCTTCCCTTCTAAGAAGACCAGGTGCCTGGGATCGACAGTTCTCAGGGCAGAGCTAGGAACAACCCGAGGTGCGCTCAAGGACTCGGTGCGCAGCACAGACAAGTGTTGGTCAGTCCGTCTTCCTCTGTGGAGTCCCCACGTCTGGCAAGGAGGACCCTCACCTGGTGCACAGGACTCACCTGGGAAACTTGCTGGTCCTACTACGCAGTCCCCAGGACCCTGTACCCAACGCATCTGGACTGCCCCCCACCCATTTCATGGAGCTTGCTAAACAAATTTTTCATCTTAGAATAATTTTTACACAAAAATCAGAAGAGTGCAGAGAGTTCCTGGGAATCAGCTCCCAGACCCTCTGTGGGTCATCTGGGTCCCTGTGTACCTGTCACAGCTCGGGGGCCAGCGTCAGGACAGCTGGCCGCGTGCTCAACCACACAGCTTGCCCAGATCTTGCTAGTGCCTGGCCCAGGTCCCCACCCAGGGCACGTCACCTCTGTCTTGGGGCTCCTTGGGATGCTCTCGGCCATGACAGTTCCTCA